GAATTTTGAACTTTTAATGATACCATTGCATTGAAAGATGGAATAACTGTAACCACTAGGATGAAAAGGACTGTTTTCAACTGTTCAGGGCAAAATATGAGAATTTTGCAGTTGATTTTGAATTTTTATTTTTATTTGTGGATCAGAAAAAAATGAAGCGGGCGAATTCGTTTACCAAGAAATTAAATTGGTGTGGCCAGAGGGGGAACTATAAAACGATTACGTTGCAGTACCGGTAGTAACTGGAAAGTATCATATGAAATTGTACATGAAGGGAAAATACTTTTGTTACTGATTGATGTATAAATGATTGTCATTGTGCCTGTGTTTTTCATGATGCTGAACAGGGTCACATGTTCATGTAACACTATGACAAGTGTGATGCTGGCTTTAGAAAGATATTGTCATGTTGGAAAAATGTTACAGTTACAACAAAATACTAGTATGCTAAAGCATAATACCAAGTATGTCAAAATTCTGAAACTTAGTACATGTATTGTAAATTGATGCCTTTGAAATTTGTGAAATGGCTAAGCATCTGGTGTTAGAGAACTTTTTGCAGAGAAAAATTTCTGTACAGGTCTCAGCCACTTTTACAAAAAGTTCCAACATTGGTGGGTTCTTATTCATTGCAATAGAAGTAAATGAAATTGTCAATAAAGAGGAAAATGCATCCAATTTGTCAAAGATTGTACTAGAAGGGTGTATGGAAAAGAGGGTGTATGGTTATGTTACGTTAGGCCATGTTGATTTGATTACATGGATGACATCCTCTGGGAACCCCAAAACTGATGCGCGCGTGCGAATAAAAGAAAAGTTTTGCAAAAAAAAAGTTGCTTTCACTATGAAATCTACGTGGTCATGAAGGTTGAACAAATGGCACAGAATATGTTATGGCGAATAATCTACTCTTCGAATTCATTTCTTTACATTTTTGTCTTTTTTCCTTTGATTTTGGCATTCTACGACATTGGTATCGTTTCTAAATGTTTTCCTTGCAACTTATGGTATATTTCTGCTCATTTAGCAACTGTTTTGCACGATTTACAGTATGGTTGAAAACTTTTTTTTTTTTGGAAACGGCCGAAAATTCATGCGCGCGCGGATGTCATCCATATAATCAAATCAACATGGCCTTAGAGGTAATACTATGGGCAATAAGTGAATAAAGTCAATCTGGAATACACTTTTGCATAAAACTCGTCTTGTTTTTCTCCTGTTCATGCAGTTAATATTTTGGATATTTAACATTTAGGTGCCATCCTATTTAGTTATATGGGGCTCCCACATTCTCTTCTTCAAAAAAAATCAAAGATGTACAACTTGAACTTGAAGTTATGTATTTGGAGTTGTTGTGAATTTCGTGTTTATAAATTCCTCACTAATTCTGTCTATGTATTTTCCCACTGACTCACATAAGGCAACAGACATACAAAATGCAGGAACTTGAAGGAAATGAGAACATTTCCCAGGACCTAACTTCCTGTCATAGCCTGGGTGCCATCCGAATTTGTAATGGCTCCCCCGAAAAAATCCAAAAATTCAGTAGTATGTGAAAATAACTATGGAAATGCAGTTAATTAAGTAAATTTAAGACATACAGAACACTGTGGGAAAGGTTTGTCTGTTTTTATTATATCTCCAAGACGTGTCAGAACTATGCGATGAACTCGTATGGGATGGGTTCCACCAGCTGGGGCACGTTGTTGGCGGTGCGTACCATGTGACCTGGGCGGGGTCCAACGGGCTGCAGGAAGACAACAAAGGACATACACATAAGGGTTAAAGTTCAGCTATACAGTAAGATGTAGAGGTTCAACTCAGAGACATGGCAATGCTTGTAATACTAGTAATTCACTTAGTCAAGGATGAAGATTGATTCAGACCTGTACATGTATCTACAGTCTGAGGTCTCACAAAAGTTAAATTAAGTTTAAATCAGACATGGTAAGACGTAAGGAATGGAACACAGTAGAATCTGCAATGGGAAAATGACAAGGAATCTTTCACCTCTCTCTTCAAGTTCTTGTAGACGCCGGTTTCCTTGTGCTTCTTCTTCAACTCATCGTTCTTCTTGACGCGCTTGAGGAAGTCCTCCCTGGAGCGGGAGTGCTTCACGTGCTCCACACGCAGGTTGATGCGCTTCGGGATGATGCGGTTCCTGCCAAACACAGGGATACAAAACTCAGCAAACTTTCTTCTCTATCAGTTTTTACTTATTTCAGAATTCTGTACAACCTTTAAAAAAAAGGCCTGAAAAACTCTCCCTGCTTTCTGGTATAAACAGTTTAAGAGTTGAAGAAGGAAATTGTTACTCAAGCAACTGGATAGATTTCGAAAACTGTTGTTTCAGGTAGTAGATACTTGAAATGTCCAACAGTTTTCACAATATCTTTTGTCATTGACGAAAAGTAGTGGATTCTACTTGAAATGACTTAACAGTTAAACCTATCCAGTTGCTTGTGTAACTCATTACCTGGATGTCTAACATACATCAATGAAAATACAGAGCCAGGACAGAACCTTGCTCTTATTCCCTAATTCAGTAGTAATTGTAAGATGAGACTTACCCTACTCTCTTGTTGACGATGACACCAACAGCGTGATTTGTGACGTTGAAGATCCGCCCCGTGCGACCGTGGTAGGCCTTGTAAGGCATGCCCTTCTGCACGGTGCCCGTGCCCTTGACGTCCACGATATCACCGCGCTTGTAGACATGGAGGTAGGTGGACAGATGGATCGGACCTACAGGGGGACGAAAATGTTGCAACCATTTTAGTTCTGTGGCTGTAATGTTCAACTATCTTGTGACTGTAAACTTCAGTAGGAAATTTACAGATTTTTTTTATATCAAAGTAACAACAGACGAGCTTGGTAGGGAATTCAATAAATATTAAATTTTTGCGGTAACAATGCCATATTTGCCTATACTTATACTATGTACTATACATGTATTTGTACAGACTTTTTTCATGTCCATCAAACAATAGAACGACTTGGGTACAAGAAAAAAAGTTACTAGTATGCGAATATCTTATCTATTTTTTCCTATTGTATCTTGAGACGAAATACTTACCACGTGCCCTGAATTTGCGGCTGAACATATACCGCGTACCGCGGCGATAACCATGGCCGTTCGTCATCTTTCAGCTGAAATGAGAAATAAATTGTTCTTTTAGTTTTATTCTACAAAGACTACATGGAATGAAACTGCAACAAGAGGGAAAGGATTCCATGTTTGCCTGTGCACACACGTGTGTTTTGGGGCACATCACTTGTGCACAAATGTTAAATGGTAACTAGTTATTCAAACATAATGGATCATTTCTGCAACGGAGCAATCATTTGACTGCATTTCAAAATGCCAAACTATAAAAAATGAATATATTTCTGGCTTTACACGTTGCATGTACTTTTACAAATTTGAGTACTGTAAAACTCGTAACATTTACTAATATCTTAGTACCTGAAACTATATTAGAAGTGGTACGATAACCAAAATTGTGTGTTTCTTAACGTTCGACTTATGTCTGAAAAACCATAGAACTGGTTTCCTTTCATCCCGATAATTTAGTTGAGCCGGCTACTGAACCAGAGGCCAGGGCCAGGGCGGCCATGTCAGTAGAGGGCCTGCCACATGTGGCCACTCCGGACTTTCTTAGATCGGTACCTGGCGAAATTAACGGTGTAGGAAGATCCTATCGTCTCTTGGTATTACAATTTGTGGCTTCGATGGTGGTGAATGCGAGAATATGACAAGATTTTGGCTATTTTTAGGGAGAGGTTCCCACTTGTACCTTTCTCAAGATGGCCGCCGTCAAAAAAGGACGAGCATGGGGGTCACGTGATCAACATCCGTGCAGGTAAAATTTGCTGTTGTATTTTAGGTTATACACGAACTTTCTGCATTCTTATAACATTTCATTATGTACAATTATTGCATATTATACATAATTATGTATAATGTACAGGTAGCAAAAAAAAACTACTGAAAGGTTTTATTTCCGGTTCAGGTCACACTACTTGTAAAACTAGCGCGCGATTTGAGATGCGGTTTCATTTCTCCTGGATGATATCTTAATATTTTCTGGAGAAAAGAGTACATCACATATCATGATGATTTTTTTTGCTTTTATTTTGTGCTCTTTATTGCATAAAATTCTGTACGTTTTTGGTCTGCTAACGGGTTCGTTTGGTTCTCTAGAAGATTCATATTTCAATTATTTGTCAACCCTGTTTTTGAAAATTTATATAAAGAGATTAAGAAGCCTTCTTGTAAATCAATGGGCAAAACGACATGAATTGTAAGAGTAACCTGTGCCTTTTACCCAAATACGGTACGTAAAAAATATGTGCCGCCTACGTTCCGTCAGGGAAATCACAACGTGAGCATCACACTTTTCACAGCAAGGAGGTCACAGGTACTCTCTTTGGGTTTTGGCTTATTTTTGGCGTGTTTTTATGCTTTTTATCGTGGTTTCTTTTCTACACTGGAATTTTTTTCACCCAACCCAACAAAATTCCAGTGCAAAAAAGAAACCCCGATAAAAAAAGCCTAAAAACACGCCAAAAATAACCCAAAACCTCTGCTTGGAGAGTAGTCACAGGGCGCTCCCCAAATGGAACAGACATAGACCAAGACCCCGTAGGTAGATAATTATTTTACAAACCTAGCTAAAACTGTGCTATTTTAGCAGAAGCAGAATACTAGCTTCGTAAAACAACGTCTATGTTTGGAAATAACATACCGTAAAATGGAACATTGTTGCATTTATAGTATCATATACGATCCAGAGTGGACTTATTCGTGAAAAATAATCTACACCTTTGTAGTCTTGGTCGCACTAAGATGGCAGACAGCCTGTGAGGTCCTGAGGAACTGGAGAGATGCATTGCGTAGTCAACATGGTAAAACCGTCTGTTTTTCTCTAACATCGGTACAGGGCAGCTCTAGATAACACGCACCAGCCTTGGGAATCTTCTAGTACATCGTAGCTCTATCCCTACTCTCTAAAACCATGCACCGCCGTTTAATATAACAGGCCAAAAAATGGTGGGAAATGTGGACACCTACTTATTCATTTTCCTTGCAGGGTTTATAATCGCAAGAAATGGACAGTTTTCAAGGTCGAAATTTCATTGTTGACTTCATCTCGAACGTAGCAAGCTTCAGGCCGAAAGAAAGTCGTGCGTTTTCTCTAAGATGCCCCTCTAGCACTTGTAGTGATCTGTTCAGATGTTGTTGTTTTGGGGGCGGACCGAGACGGGGGGTGGGGGGCATTTTTTGCAAGCTATGTACATGTTAATATAATGTTATTATAACACATATTCGGACAGAAAGCCGTAAAGAAAGCTTTGTTATGTGCGAATGATTGTTTTGGATGTCATATTGCAACGTCATGAACGAAATATATTTACTGTCACTGTCCTAATATTTGGATCAAATATAGATTGTTTTATCAGAAATGTTTTTTTACAAGATATGACATTAGATATGATTAAGACTGCACTAAGCTTAATTATGGGATAAACTTCCTCGATCTTAATCAATCCAGGTGAAGATGTAATATCAACCTTCTTAATTCTGTTGAACTCAGCCACCTGTGAATTACAGTTGTTGTTTTTTTTCACGCAATGGTGCAAAATAAATGCAAATGTCCGTAATTATGTTTGTTTGTTTACTTGTTTGCAGGGAGCAAATGCGTCTCAGCTTGAGAAGGAGATTGGTTCGGATCAGTTCCCGGTGAACGAACACTACTTTGGACTGGTGAACGTGAGTAACAAACATGTATACTTCAAACATGGCAAGCTAACAACGCAAAACATTTCTTAAGACAACTGTTGTCACACATGACGAAGAATGTCTGTACATGGAGGAACCTTCGGTATTTCATCATAAAGTAGAAGATCCCAAAACTCTTATTCAGAAGGCTCAGTGTGTTTGGGCAAATTCTTACTTTTCGGGACATTGTTTTGTAGGCTCATACCTTTCCTCACAGCTCATACCTTTTATCACATCTTTTGAATGGAGATCATCCAATCATTTATTGACCAATCAGAATCACAGTCTAACAGTGGGTGTGGTCAATCTTTGACATACATGATTTTTATAGGGTACACTCAATGTGTGGCTGACATGTAATGTAAATTATTAGCAATGTTGTTGTGGTACTATGTTCCAAGAAGAAGGGTATTATCACGTTGCATAAGGCCTAGGAAAAAATGTTGTGTTTTCTGTTTCCCGACCGACCCTGGAAAAACTACTGACCCTAGCCTTTTTTTTGGGTGTACCCCTGAAAGGACATATATGTTTAAGAGCTGATCAACCTTTTCTAGCTCCATGATCTGACACCTGAGTGATGAAACATTGAAGAATCAGTTTTCCAACATTGACATTGAAAATACAAGTGTCTTCATGCAAGTTCTACTTTGTTAAAGTATTATAACTGTATAAGTTGGATCACTACTCTCATCTGCCAAATAAACATACGGGTACGTTTATTTTTTTTTTGGCCATTGCCCAAACATCCACCCAGTACGTTCTTATTTTGCACAGTACGTTTATTAATTTTTTGAAAACCAGTAATTTTTTTCAACTTCGTGTCAAAAAAATTGACAAATCATCGACGTGAATACATTTATAAACGCGTATTGTAGCGAGAAACTTGTCATTTTCGGGCCGGTTTTTGCAATCACCGCGTGCGTAAATTCGTCTGAATGTTCTATTGTCATGGGTGGTGCTTATCAAAATACGAAATATTAAATGCTCTTTTTTTTTGTCTATTTAAATTCCTAATTGCAAATAACAGTTAAAGATTTGTGCATATATCAGTAAGGGCGCATTTTAGTACAAGAGACACAGGTTACCCGTCAATTTTGGTAATTTTCCGGGGGGTACGTTTATTCCGGGGGTATGTTTATTTGATTTTGAAGATTTGTCCGGGGGGGTACGTTTATTCCGGGGGGTATGTTTATTCGGCAGATGAGAGTAGAGAGTGCCAAAGTCTGATTAAAAAAAAAAGATAGTCCCTACCTACCGACCCTAATTTTTTCAGGACTGAAACCAGAAACTCAATTTTTTTTTGCTTGACCTAAGAAAATATACATACATATGTAAGTATTAAGTCCCCAAGAACATAAAACGATTGACGGTGTTCCACCTTGTCCACAGTTTGGGAACACATGTTACTGTAACTCAGTGCTCCAAGCGCTGTACTTCTGCCGGCCGTTCCGGGAGAAGGTCCTGCAGTACAAGGCACAGCCCAAGAAGAAGGAGACGCTGCTCACCTGTCTGTCCGACCTCTTCCACTCCATCGCCACGCAGAAGAAGAAAGTCGGCGTCATCGCGCCCAAGAAGTTCATTGCCAGGTTGAGAAAAGAAAATGGTAAGACCTTCCCCAGATGAGCGACTGAAGTTTGAGCAAGGCTCTCCCCAAGCAATGTTCAAAGCAAGAGTGCTCCCCCTCTCCCAAAAGTCCTAGCACCTCTCCCAAAATGTTCAAATTAGGGTTTTCTCTTAGTATTTTCATGAAAATTTGCTGATTCTTCATCAACTGATTAGGGAGCACCTCTCCCCTAAAAATTTCTGGGGAGACCACTTTCTGTATCTGTATCTGTATCTGTATAGCCGGTATAACCGCCTTTCGGCGTAACACACCAGCTTCGCAGGCACGCGGCGCGGCGGCAGCTGGCTATATTACACCGATCGACTTGTTACACCTAACCCTTGAACTCCTAGCTCTAGACATTGTTTAAAGCTATCTATTGACAGTGCCCCTACTGTACTTGGTGACAGTGAGTTCTACTCTGCGATAGTTCTAGGAAAGAATGAATTCTTGAACACCTCAATCCTTGGTTGATAACTCTGGTACTTGAATGCGTGGCTATTTCTTGTTCTCTTCTGAGCTGGTATTAGGTACTTAGTAGTTGGGACATCCACCAGTTTATTAGTCATTTTGTACATCATGCATAGTCTAGACATCTTTCTTCTGTCGTCAAGTGAGGTCCACTGTAGGTTTCTTTTCATTTCCGTGACACTAGCACCTCTTACATAGTTGTTCATACAGAATCTTGCAGCTTGATTCTGTACCCTTTCCAATTTGTCTTTGTCTTTCTTTGTATATGGATCCCATACTGTCGCAGCGTATTCTAGGTTCGGTCTTACAAGTGACGTGTATGCAAGTGATTTTACTCTCGTTGGACATGCCCACAGATTACGTTTAATCACTCCCAATGTCTGTTTCGCCTTAGTTGTGATATTATTAACATGTCCGCTTGTCAGCGTGACGCCCAGATACGGATGGATTTTTGTGGTTGCTAAAGCCTGACCACAAAACTGGTAGCTAGTTGCATGTGGTGTTCGTTTGTTTGTTATGTGCATAATGTAGCATTTTTCGGGATTAAACTGCATGAGCCATTTGCTTTGCCATTCTTCCAGGGTGTTCAGGTCTTTTTGGAGAAGTTGTGAGTCGGTCTGTGTAGAAAGCTCTACATACAATAGACAGTCATCGGCAAATAACCTCACATTTGAGTCAAGCTGATCTGGTAGGTCATTTATATACAAGAGAAAGAGCAATGGCCCCAGGACGGTTCCTTGAGGGACCCCAGACGCTACTTTAACTGGAGCCGACGCCTTCCCTTCAACCACTACTGTTTGCTCCCTGTTGGTCAGGAAAGCCTTTAACCAATTCAGCGTAGGGCCTTGGATTCCATAATACTCCAGTTTTGAGATGAGCCTGCCATGGGGGACTTTATCAAAGGCTTTAGTGAAATCAAGTATTGCTAAATCTACCTGCCGTTTACTGTTTAGTGCGCCAGCTATGTCATGGACTGTTAGTATAAGCTGTGTTTCTGTGGATCGTTTGGCTCTGAATCCATGCTGGTAATCCGTTAATATACTGTAACTTTCTAGGTGCTTCATGATTTGGCTATGGATGATATGTTCAAGTAGTTTAAATTTCTAGATCCCTATGGTGTCCCTCCCCACAGAATTCGTTGCCTTCTATTTCAAAAAGAAGAAAATATAAATAGAGGCTTGACCAGTACAAGGGTGGCTAGAATCACAGTTTCATGTCTTTCTTTTATCCATACAGAGTTATTTGACAACTACATGCAGCAGGATGCACATGAGTTCCTTAACTACCTACTCAACACAGTAGCAGATCTGCTACAAGGTGAGATAGCTGAACACGATCACTTAGTCACTTGGTTTTGATATTGTAAATCATGAAAACCTTTGCACCATGAAATCATAACACCTTGAACATGTGTTTCTATTGTATCACCACTAGCTACTTCAGAATTGTTCCAACTGCAAACTTACAATTAAAACACCATGAAACCCTCCTTTCCCCTCCTGAGAATTTTATCCCTGCAAAAGTAAATGAAATTACAGTATGTCCTATGAACAAACTGAAGCTTAGGCCACACCAATTTAATTTCTTGGTTAACGGATTCGCCGCTTCATTTTTTTTTTTGCAAATAAAAATAAAAATCCAGAATCAACTGCAAAATGCTCATATTTTGCCCTGAAGAGTTGAAAACAGACCTTTTCATCCTAGTTGTTACAGTTATTCCATCTTTCAATGCAATGGTATCATTAAAAGTTCAAAATTCATTGTTTAAATTTTGAACCAGCCTGGTGTGTTGACTTCATGGCTCATATCATACCCTTTTGGGCCATAATACGATGCCTAGGCCTGTTTTTATTTTTATTTTTTTTTCGCCCGCCCGCTCCAATATTTTTCTACAAAAATCCGTTAACCAAGAAATTAAATTGATCTGGCCTTAGTCCCATGTCACAGCTGTCTGAACGGTGCACACACCAGTTCTTCCGCGACAGGGGTCCACTATAGTGCCCGGAAAAAAAGTGACGAAGGGGTTCCGATGGTTCATGTTTGAGTTTACATTTCTCATAATCTGCTGCAAAATGGGATTAGCTACTAACATGGCTGAAAAGTGTAAGAAGTGGCGTGTTTTGGGTGAAAATTGATTTCGGGCCCGAGACTTACTTCCGGGTGTCCTTCCGCCCTGAGCGTGGTGCTTCGGTTTGACCTAGTTTTGCCTTGTATGCGTTCGGGGGGGTGCTGTAGCTATGCCTCGCGCGACGGGCTATTGTGATAATCTCAGTGTTAGGATTTTCTTTATACTTTTCTTAATAATACATAAGGGTTTTCTCTTTCCGACCATATAAGTCATATCGGTGGCAAAAATCTGGGTGATGGGTTTAATTCCACGTGAAAATGGCCAATTTTTGGCATCATTTTTCAGCGAAAAATTCTTTTTCCCCCTAAAATTTGCTAAAATGTGAGAGGTGAAAGAAATTGAAATTCTTTTGTTCTTGTAGCTAGAGGGATATCCTTCATTTGCAAACAGAGTGTTTTGGCTTAAGAGGTTTTTCCTGAAAGAGACGGTCGCTAGAGTTGAGGGTATGCAGAATCGAATTGAGACCCAAAATAAACTGGGGTGTGCCCCCTGAACTGAAATAATACTTGCTGACATGCCTTTAATGTTTACAGCAGAGAAGCAACAAGCCAAAGGCATCAATGGGACAGACAACAACTCCAAGTCTGACCCGACCTGGGTCCACGATATCTTCCAGGGAACGCTGACCAATGAGACCAGGTGCCTCTGCTGTGAGACGGTAAGTGGGCAAACTGGATTGTATGGTGTTTTAGAGCGTTTTTACGTGATTTTATAGGGGCAACAACATTGAGGCAAACACAGCTATTCGCATGTCAGTGAATCATATGTCAAGTGTTTTGGACATCTATTGTAGAGTATCTAGAGAAGAGAATAGCAGAAGAATACATAAAACGAAAAAAAAACTGTGTATACGTGAGCCATTTTGAATGTAAGAATCACTCCTTGTTTTGCTTTATTTCTGCAGGTCAGCAGCAAAGATGAGGATTTCCTGGACCTGTCAGTAGATGTGGACCAGAACACATCTATAACGCATTGTTTAAGGTAAGGCAGGCAGACAATACTGGCTTTGAACATGGTTGGTTTGCCTAGGCTTTCAGGTACAGTGAAACTTGTCTGCAGTGACCACTAAAGCAACTTGAAGAAATTGTTACATTAGACAGATGGTTACCACAGACAGGATTTTTAATGCTTGAATTAGTGAGAAAATAATCTATGGAACAGTTCCTTAAAAACTGGCCACAGTGGTCTTTATTGCAAAGCAATCTTTTGGTAGAAATTTTACATGTGCATGCAATTGCAGATTATTTTCCTCACCACAGTTGCTCCTGAAATGCCTCCTAGTCATGCAAAAGAGTACTGCAGTTGAGCACTACGTGAACGTTTTGATTACATACAATCCAATCATAACTAAGACATGTGCCGCTTGTGTTTTTCTGTACAGAGGCTTCAGTAATACAGAGACGTTGTGTAGTGAGTACAAGTACTACTGTGAGATGTGCTGCAGCAAGCAGGAAGCACAAAAACGGTAAGATACAAATAGAGACATCCTCCTTTCCAAAACTACTGTAGAGTGTAGAGTAGATAGTAATAATATATTGTTGTCAGTGTTGAATACCCGTTTATGTATGGTTGTTAATTACATGTGCGTTGACAGACTTTCTGTGCTTAGGTTGTGTTCAGGTTCTTTTGCTCTCCTATTTTTCTGCTTCATGATATATTATAATAAGTGTTCTTGGTTATGAACTCGCAGTAAATTAACTGTAAACTGCAATTGACAAATCAGCCAAATCAGTGTATGTCTCTGCTGTGTGATTCCAGCTTTATTATGTTTACAGTAAACTGAAGGAAATATTGTTTTTGCTCAGTTTCTTCCTCTTCTTCTTCTTCCGTTCCAAACAAATAAGGTCAATGACCAGGACCAGATGTCTGTTTCCATAGTGACTGGTGTTGGGTTACATAAGGTTGCAAGAGCCATGCAGAACTGAGTTCAAGAGGGGCTGCATGGTCACCATATATATGAGTGTCTTGGAGTAAGAATAAACAATGCAGTAGTTTGTTAAGCTGGGCCATGTAAAGGTAAACACGCATGCATTTGCTTTGCAAATGTTACCTTTCTAGTTATCATAGCCTCTGTGTTGTCTTAGACTTATTAAAACATTGCTTTCACAGCATGAGAGTGAAAAAGCTGCCGATGATTCTGGCTCTGCACCTGAAGAGGTTTAAGTACATGGAGCAGCTACATCGCTACACCAAACTGTCCTACAGGGTTGTGTTTCCCCTGGAACTCAGACTTTTCAACACTGTGAGTACTGAAAAATAAGAGCTCATGTGTCAGTAAAGCAATATACCGAGCACGTCGGCAGAACGTACTGCACCTGCGTGAAACCGTAATGCATTGTACATAGCACTTCGGTAAAACGTCTCATATAAGCTCGTATTCGCGCATATAAGGAAAACATCTCGTCTGTAGTTTCCAGATGTTATGTCGGAAAAGATATCCTCTGCAACAGGCAAAATTCTAATGCAACGTTGACCAAAAATCCAGGGCGTGAAAATCCAGGGTTCTGTGCAGGCGCAATACGTTCTGCCGACGTGCTAATATACCGGTACATGTACTAACCCTTTGCTGTGCTATTACTACAAATGTAATTATTAACATAACACTAGCCTACAGTTTAATTCTGGACTTCCAGTTTAATTCCGGACTAATTCCCATATCTCAGCAACCTTACATCTAGATGGGCTAATATCGTAAACTATAGGTAAAAAGGATGTAAGAAGGATGTATATGTAGCAGGCATCGAAAACCCCTCAGGGATTAACCCAATTCTGCAGAATTTGTCCCAGAATTCTGGCTTCAGTTCCCAGAGTTCTTGCTCCAGTTCCCAGAATTCTGCAGAATTGGGTTAATCCCCAAGGGGTCCTTGATGGCTGCCACGTATTTCTTACATCATTTTTACCAATAGTTTGAGATTTTAGCCCATCTAGATGTAAGGTTGCTGAGATATCGGAATTAGTCCGGAATTAAACTGGAAGTCCTAAATCAAACTGGAGGCTGTTAACGGTGCACACCCCAGTTCTTGCGCGACCGGGGTCCGTGATAGTCCGTTGTAAAAAAGTGACGAAAGGGTTTTGAGGGTCCAAGTTTGAGGTGACATTTCTCATAAACTGCCACGAAGTGTCATTAAACATTAGCATGGCTGAAGAGTGTAGGAAGTGGTGTTTTGGGGGTGAAAATTTCTTTTGGCTCCGAACCTTACTTCCGGGTATCCTTGCGCGCCAAGTGTAATCCGCCCGTTTGACCTAGATTTCGCTCTGCGCCCTCGTAGGGGTGCATTTGCAACCCCTCGTGCCGTGGACTGTTTAGAAAATTACAGTACTAGAATTTTCTTTATAATTTACTCGAGTATAGTCAAGGCTTGGGTCTTTCTGCCAGCATCAGTCATTTCTGCCGGAAAATTTTTTTCTATGGGATTATCCTACGCGAAAATTCGCAATTTTGGGCATTAATTTTGGAGTGAAAAAACTGTTTTTTCCGTTGATTTTACCAAACTTAAAAAGGTTGAAGAAACCAAACTCAGCTGGTCTTGTAGCTGAAGAGATATCCTTTCGTCCAATATACAGTTATTCTCATTCCGAATTATACCACGCCAGATACGGTCGCTAGATTTGAGGGTGTGCAGCCTCCAATAGAGACGCCAAATAAACTGGGGTGTGCCCCCTTACTGTTACATGTTTTAAGTTACCCCTTCTCTTTTCAGCACAAGTAGTATACATGTATGTTGACCAAATTATCAGCTGATATTTGGGCTATCTTCATTTTTTTTTGTTCCTCAGCTTTGTCTTAAACACCTGGTTTTGTTTTGTTCCTTGTACAGTCTGATGATGCAGTCAATGCAGATAAGATATACGACCTGGTGGCTGTTGTCATCCACTGTGGCAGGTGAGCTCTCACACATCTTTACAAGACATTAATAACTTTATGACTTGTTTTGTGTTAAACATTAAGAGTGAAATAGGGAAGGGAAAAGGAAAGAATATATGACATCAGTGGCAGCATTAGCATATGAATGAAGGAAATCAGAGATGGGGGACTTTGAAACTCTTTCAGTCCCACAAACAAAGTAGCAGCACTGAGGATGTATGACAATGGACCTATACCATTATTATGTCACAGTTTGTTTACCTGTTCTAAAGAACATTCTAGAACGGTCAGTTAAAGAATAAAGATCATTTCAAAGTTTTCAAAGTAAGGTATGTCTGATTTTTTGCTGCGTCTAGTTGTGTTGACACAGCATTACATGCCGCATGGGTGATTTAGTTGTGACATTAGACGAAAGTAGCACTGTATTAAAAGCCTTATATAAGCCTAACGCTACACAAACACACACCGCGCTACGCACCCTGTATAAACGTCGATTGGCCGGCATTCATTGCGGTAAACAAACTGTGACGTAATAATGGTAACGGGAGGGGTCCTAATTCCGACCTATGTTCCATGCAAACGCACATACCTTTGGTAATGGTTTGTCTGACCCAAAACTCGCGCAACACGAGCTTTAATATTTACAGATACAGATAACAAAGATTAAAGCTAAACAGTTGTGTATTTTACTTCAGTGTAGCGCCTTGCACCCATGCGTAATGGTTCGCGAAACTTACGGCAGGTTTTTCGTCATTCTGCCGGTGGAACGTTCTATCGCAAAAGGGGTGCCCTAATTCCGACCTAGTGTTTAACAAAGGTCAATCTGAGGAGACAGTTTAGTATTTAAAATATATAAATTATGACTAAAACAATCTACAACTATTTTTCTGTCCCAAACAAGTCTTCTTTGTACCATTACACTACTTGCTCCAAAGCGGCTGTTTCAAAATCAAAGCTGCGTTTTTTGACATGCTCGTCAACCCCCGAACAAGCGTCGAATTTATAAAGATTTTTCACTCGTCTGTTGTCGGAGCGTGCGAACTGGAACAAACTTTGTGAGATTACCGATGTCAACACAGAAACTTTGTCCATTCTTGTGGTTATTTATAGGCACGTGCTCCCATGCATAACGCCGCGACAAGAATTTTTCGAACTAGTACGGAATTAGGGGTAGGTCGGAATTAGGGCACCCCCCGTTATAGGTCCATTCTGTATTGTGTATGTTGAGAATTTCAGAAAAACAGACAGATTTACAGATACACAGACAGAAATGAACAGTTCTATACTCTTAAATAATTAAATAATTACTGAGCCAAGGTCCCGCGAGGGACATCATGCTCAACACTCCCTTGAAGTGGAATGAAAATATGTTGTTGATTTCCAGTGGACCTAACCGAGGCCATTACATCACCATTGTCAAGTCTCATGGCTTCTGGCTGCTGTTTGATGATGACATTGTGGAGGTGAGTCTGAATGGTCTGAGCCAATCCAATATCCTGAGCTTCTCGTTTGTAGAATTATTTAAAGTCAGCTGGCACAGACGATTTTCAAGACTAGTAGGCAACCTTGCTGACCAATTTCCAAACACAGGTGTCTGTTCACAATTAAATAAATAAACTTAATGTTGTACCAACCATGGTCTGGAGAACGTCTGACTCAATAGGCCATTTTCAGCTATGTGTGACAGGCTTATGATTAAACCATGCAATGTGAAAATGACAAATTAAATACTAGAAAGGCAGGCATTTGCTCAGGAGCAAATGCAGCAAATGGCTTCACCACATCCCCTCCTGGTCCTGTCCCCCTCTCCAATACTTAATTTAAAAAACATGCCTCCCCTCTTTAAGAATGAATTTTTCTAGTGACCCCACATTATGTTATGGTCCAGTTAAAATGCTTCCACACACACAAAATCACTTTTTCACAATCACCAAGTCACTACATGGTGTTGGTGAAGCCATAATTATACATATTGTATCATATGCAAAATTTTTCGTCATGTAAAACTGAATGTTCTTCATGTCATGTTTGCCATGTAGAAAATCGACGCTCACGCAATCGAAGACTTCTACGGGCTGACGTCCGATATCCAGAAGACGTCAGAGTCGGGTTACATCCTGTTCTACCAGTCCAGAGACAGTAGTTAGACATCTGCCTCCTCAGGAGGTACAGGAGAGCAGAACCAGGAGACTTCAAGGCATATCATGGCCCCTGTAGCTCTGTATGCTGCAGACATGTCTAGGGCATGCCGATATGAGACGTTACGACCAAACCTGACTGTGATAATGTAGACCAGTAGCCTGGTATCCATCCTAGTCTAGCTCAGGTTCACTTCTATGCAGAATAGTCAGGCACCCAGTAGTGCTGCATACCGGTTCACTGGACTTGGATCCGGACTTGTAAGAATGTTTAAGTTCAAGTCCAAAAAAACCTAAAAGTCAAGAACCGAGTCCGGACTTATAACCATAAAAGACCATTTCACATACCCCTTTTCTTTCCAAACCACCTAAAACCTTCCATAGATTGCAAAATCTTTGCTGCAAAATGAAGAAAACATTGCCATTGGGCATCGTCAAGTGTCGGCCTTCATGTTATGTGGCCAAAGTTTCCACCCAGACAACATTGCAAGGTTGCCAACCTGCAATTTTGTATATGCCATGGGTTTAGGTCCAGACTTACGAGTCCAGAATTGAACCTAAACCTCTGGACTTGAATCCGGACCTGAACCTAAATGTGGGTTTAGGTACGCAGCACTATCTGGCACCAAGTAACAGGGAAAAGGTTGTCATTTGAATATCCGCCTAAAACATGGGTGAGAGTTCTGATTGGCTCTAAGTCAGGCCGTCCTTTCAATGTAGTAAAATCATTCTTTATTCGAAAATGAAGAAATTCACATTAATCCCAGGTCATATCGGTCATAGTTGGCCGAGCATGCAGGGGGACAGACAATATAAGAGTTCACCTGATATTGCACAATGTACATAAAATCATTTTAAACGGTATCTAATGAACTTAGAGAGTGCCAATATTTACATTTCCACTGATAACTGCTATGAGTTAATGTAATGGTAACATTTGCAGTTAAAAACAGGCATTCAGAAGTTAACTCCCTGTTACACTGCTTCTGTGAAATATTTGATTCCCGAAACAATGCAGAACAAAAGAACCAAACATTTCAATGTGGGTAGGGTCCAGATTGTTAATCAAATCACATACTTCAATTTTTTTTTTTATTGAAAACTTTAAGTTGTCGAGATTCCTGGCCTCAGATAGTGACTCCCCAGTACCATTGGTACCTCAGCTGCGATGATCTAACTGCATGAAAGATGAGAAAACCTTAGCTAGAATAGGATGGATACAAGGCCAGTAGACCAGAGGGTGAACAACAAGCCTTTAGGTACTAGTATCAGAAACGTCTCGGAGATTCCACCCTTCGTAGCCAGTTGACATTCCATATTTTATTTTGGCTGTGGATTTTATGTATCACTTCGTGATACAGACAGTCCTTTCAGCAATCGGTCTGCTCAAGATTGGAAAAGGTCCACAAGAAATTATGTGAAATGAAAGATTCCTAGACTAAATGTAGTTCTATAGTTGGCTACTCATTTCCAATCATGTATAAAGTTTTATTTGGGAGATTTGTAAAGTTAGGATCATGGCAAAACAATGTCGATGTATTACATGACGTTATGCCAAAGATATTCCTTTTGCACTAGCTTTTATTATATTTTGGTTCTTACTTGGTTGAAGGTCAATAGTGTATAGCTATGAGGTGATGCAGAGAAGACTTCATTTTACATGAATGGAACAGTTTAAAGATTACTAGATCTGTACAGCATAAGGTTGTAATCATGTCATTTCTCAAAGGTCCACATTGTAAAGTCAACTGTAAAATAGACCATTGGGAACAGACTGTAAGATGTATACTGCTTGGTGCATAATGATATTTCATTGCTGAAGGACAATTTTTGAATCCTTTTTTTGCTTTGCCCTCTTTCCTACTGTTAGATTTAGAGGTGGCCAGCAATGGTGTATAGTCTAGGTGTGGAATGCTGGAACTAGATCCAGACCTGTAGTCAAGGTAGGGAAGAACAAAGTGGTAAAATTACCCCAGGTCATTGGCTGTCCATGCTTTTGTTTTGGACAATTGGGTAGGTTGTGGCCCCTGATTGGTGGAAATTTTAATGAAATTAATGGGATATGGGGAAGATTGGATGGGGTGATTTGATTGGATGGCAGAGAGGATAATGATGTGATTGGATGGGGTGGTTTGATTGGATGGCAGAGAGGAATGATGTGATTGGATGGGGTGGTTTAATTGATGGCAGAGAGGAATGATGTGATTGGATGGGGTGGTTTGATTGGATGGCAGAGAGGAATGATGTGATTGGATGGGGTGGTTTGATTGGATGGCAGAGAGGAATGATGTGATTTGGATGGGGTGGTTTGATTGGATGGCAGAGAGGAATGGTTTGATTGGATGGCAGAGAGGAATGATGTGATTGGATAGGGTGGTTTGATTGGATGGCTGAGAGGAATGATGTGATTGGATGGCTAAGAGGAATGATGTGAATTTATTGGGTGATTTGATTGGATGGCAGAGAGGAGTAATACAGTTGGATTGAAGTTATAGGACACTGGAGACCACTAAAGTGGTTATGCGTCCTGGAATCAGCAGAATTATACTTTGAAAGCAACTATCACAACCATATTGTTATTGTGAAACTACTCTCTGTAAGATACCAAACACCACAAGTCATGGATTGCAAAACAATTTATTGACAAGGACCTACAAAAATACTTTGCAAATGTTACACGATATCCATCAAAATGTAAATTGCCCTCTGAGGATATGTACAGAATTGACATACATGTATTAAAGTGTAGAGCTTCATTTGAAACCCATCATTGGAGTAGCCTGGGATGTAAAATGTAGTAGAAGCTGCAGAAGGGTACAGCAAGGTTTTCTTGTGTTTTTATCTACACAAAACATCTGTTAAGGCAAACTTCATGCACATCAGTGACTCATCACAAGTCTGCCACACATGGAAAATTTGCTGTGCTGCCTTAAGCCATACAAGTAGTTTTCTTAGTTCCCTTAAGTTCAAAGTGAGTTTAGAAGACAAGATTAGAACTATAGAGCCCTGTAAGCTAAGTCATGTGTACCAGGATACAAACATTCTTCTCTTTACGTTGCTTGTTCGAAGTCTGAAAATTAAACAAGAAAATGAATTCGTGCAGCCTTAGATGATGGTGATTGCATATGGGGGTAGATAGACCAGAAACATACAGCAGTTCCATTCTCTCATGCCAGGTTTGGGTTTTGGGGGTATTTTTAGCGTATTTTTAGGCTATTTTATCGGGGTTTCTCTTTTACACTGAATTTTTTTTCCCACCAAACCCAACCTCTGCCGGCAGTCGAAAGCTTCAATGGGCTATAAACCTAATCACCTTTCTTGAATAGGTTTGCCCCGCCCCGGGGTGAGTGCCGGCAGAGGTTGGGTTTGGTGGGGAAAAAAATTCAGTGCAAAAGAGAAACCCCGATAAAAAAAGCCTAAAAACACGCTAAAAATACCAAAACCCAAACCTCTGCTTTGAGAGTAGTACAGAGGAGAGTACAGAATATCAGAACCAGTAGGGTTTCCAGAAGGATGCATAGACTGATGTGGACCAGCAGAGCATCCCAAGAACACTGACGTGAATCTGTGTAAATGTATATGAGAATAGAGGAAGATGAGATGGTTGAATTTAAAATATTTTTCTGTACATATTACCCGCAGATGATTTATTTCCTTTACATCTAAAAAGCGTTATTTCTACACCCACACTTTATCACACAAAAATTCAAATGCTGATACGGACTTTTTTTACATATTCAAGTGTAAAAAATCCTTTGACGAGTTAAAACATCACTGTTCCAACACGGTGCAAATTTCCATGATTGTAGATAATGTCCAATATGAACTTGTGCAAACTAAAATAGAATGCAAATGCAACATCAGGAATGACAAAAATTACAACTGTGCACTGGTCACACTTTAGGCCACACCAATTTAATTTCTTGGTTAACGGATTCGCCCGCTTCATTTTTTTCTGATTTGGAAATAAAAATAAAAATTCAGAATCAACTGCAAAATGCTCATATTTTGCCCTGAACAGTTGAAAACAGTCCTTTCCATCCTAGTTGTTACAGTTACAGTCCATCTTTCAATGCAATTGTATCATTAAAAGTTCAAAATTCATTGTTTAAATTTTGAACCAGCCTGGTGTGTTGACTTCATGGCTCCTATCGTACCATTTTGGGCCATAATAGGATGCCTAGGCCTGTTTTTATTTTTTTTTTCGCCCGCCCACTCCATTATTTTTCTAGAAACATCCGTTAACCAAGAAATTAAATTGGTGTGGCCTTACAACAACTTTCTGGGAAAACAACTGTCATTCAGTCGACCCCTACTAATAATTTGATCTTAAGTGCATTTTACTACAAACATATTCATTAAGTGTACAAATGTCTCTATCATATATAAATATTTATTTTTCTAAAGTCTCAAACCTGTCATTATCTAGCCCTGGAATCTGTTGAATGTTGAAGCTGCTCTAGGATGTGGCTGACGCCCTTGTATAGATTGAAATATTCGTAAGAAATATACTGTAGAATTGCAAGTGGATTTTGTAAGTCCCTTGGAGATGCACTTAATTAGCTACTCCTTGACAGTCCCTATTTTCGGCCATATTCATATGGCATGATGACACTCATTGACAAACAATGTCAGAAAAAACTACCCTGCTTTTGGCCATTCTTTGGAAAAGCCTGCTTCACCGTCTAGTAAGGCTTGCTGTTGACTGCGTGAGACTCCTCAAGACGATATTTGAGTGTCATTTCTGTAGTCAAGGCAGACATGTACCCTGTTGTAGTGAATGGAAATTTTACACAACGAGCCAGTCGCCACTGCTGTTGCCTCTGCGGGAAATCTCAAGACATCCTTGTTTTCTTCTTTAGCTCATCGTCACTTCTGTAGCCATGGTGAGCTTTCTTAAGACGTTAGCTTATCACGACGTTGCTACAGCAGACGTTCTGAGGACGTTACCTTGTCGTCACTGTCTCTAACACGTCAGCTCATCATCACTGCTGTAGTCGTTCCCGTCCTGTGCCGCCCGTGGCTTCCCGCCTTTTTCCGAGAGATTCTGCTCCAGTTTGGTCAGCCGCTTCTTCAGTTTCTGTTGCGAAGAGGAGAATTCCGCGAGGAGACGGGCGAATCTTGTCTGTAGCGTGTCCAGACTCTGCTCCATCTTCTCTATCTTGTCTTCGGCGTCCCTGGGCGTGGCGAGTTTCCCGGCGTTCGGAACTGTTTCATCCAGGAGACCGTCCTACAACAACAAAACCAACCATGTGTTACATAATGAGAAACTTAAACTGTTCTCCAACTCAAAATTTGACTCACCAGAAATTTTCGACTGAATCACTCAGTCTTCCTCAGCTATCTGACCCAAATGCTGTGGACACGTGATTTTTCCCACGTGTGACGTCAGCAAAGGGTCAAAGGTTGTCTGAAGTCGATATCACCCCCCGTCCCGGTTGAGCGATGGTTGAAGTGCCCTGATGTACATGGCCTCTTTTATGCCTCTCTTGAAGTAATCCTGGGCACTTTAAGTTTTTCATAATGTAATTTACCAACTCAGATTAACTTTCATGCTCATATGTTACATAGTTTTTATGTGTGTTGCCAGTGGTAACTGTAGCCATTGATGACCATTTTATGTAAATAAGGCATGGCCAACAGAGTTCAGAATCCAAGGGGAGATGGTATGGTAATGTCATCAGAGGAATCCTTTGTCCTTGTATTTTACGGAGCCGGATCAAAAGACCATGCAAATGTACGCCTCATGTGCATGATGTGGTCGTTAATGGCAATAGCTGCATGGTGTCTGTTGTCATGAACGTGTACCATTGTCAGCCGATGAAATATTAGAATAGGTCGCATACACGGTAGTGTGACTAATACTGACTATATAAGGTAGAAATATATTAATTGATAATGCACCAGCACCATTTTTGTAACAACCAGAGAAACAGTAAGGGCAAGGTCACATTTCCAAGCCGGGGCCCGGCCGGGTTGTTTGCGTGAACTAAAAATAAACAATTAAGAGTATAAGCACAATATGTATATAGTGCTCGTGGTTAATTTTCTAAAACTTTTTTTGTGTGTTTTGCTGTCTTATATAATAATTTTCGTTCCATACGACTGCCCGGCCGGGGTTGGGAAATGTGACCGCGCCTCAAGAAAGACCATTTTACTCACCTTCATAAGGATTTTCCTGCCGCGATCTTCGAGGATGTTCTTGGCGTCAGGGTATTCCTTTAAGGCATCTAGTAAGTCGTCTTTAGACAGACAGAAAAGGTCTGAATAGCCGATGGAGCGCACGTTGGCTGTCCGTCTGTTTCCGGTTTTACTACCGGTGATGTTAAGAATGCTGACCTAAAAAAAACAGAGATTTTTTGGCAAAAATTTAAAATCAAACATGTAAGAAAACAACCACATTTAATGAAATTCCATAGCCTGATATCCTAAAAGAACTTTGGGATTGAATCATTAAACATCATAATAAATGGCTACATTGAAATTTTTATTTATTTATTCAAGTATGCTGGAAACTAGTAGAAGATTGCAATTGTGTGTTTAGGCCACACCAATTTAATTTCTTGGCTAACGGATTTTTCTAGAAAAATAATGGAGCGGGCGGGCGAAAAAAAATAAAAACAGGCCTAGGCATCCTATTATGGCCCAAAATGGTACGATAGGAGCCATGAAGTCAACACAGCAGGCTGGTTCAAAATTTAAACAATGGATTTTGAACTTTTAATGATACCATTGCATTGAAAGATGGAATAACTGTAACAACTAGGATGAAAAGGACTGTTTTCAACTGTTCAGGGCAAAATATGAGCATTTTGCAGTTGATTCTGAATTTTTATTTTTAGGCCACACCAATTTAATTTGTTGGTTCTCGGATTTTTTCAGGAAAAATATGAAGCGACAGGGCGAAAAAAAATAAAAATAAAAACAGATCTAGGCATCCTATTATAGCCCCAAATGCTACGATAGAAGGTATGAAGTCAACACGAAAGGCTGGTTCAAAATTTAAACAATGAATTTTGAACTTCTAATGATACCACTGCATTGAAAGATGGAATAACTGTAACGACTAGGAAGAAAAGGACTGTTTTCAACTGTTCAGGGCAAAATATGAGCATTTTGCAGTTGATTCTGAATTTTTATTTTTATTTGCAAATCAGAAAAAAAATGAAGCGGGCGAATCCGTTAACCAAGAAATTAAATTGGTGTGGCCTTATCTGGATGTACTCAACTGTCAACACTTCTACCGGTCGAATCTTGATTCGTCGACTTGATAGTTTATCGGAGTGTATCAGTTAGTCTTGTCGGCTAATATCAACTTGAGAACTTGACGTTTTAGTCAGACGAAGGATATTATATGGAGTAGACTGTCCTCGGTCTCACTCAGGCGCCAGACTGACTGGCAATATGTTATTGATATTATCATTAAGTGAGTCTAAGATAGTAATTATTAGGAGTTTTCATGATGAACTATATCCCACGCACCTCTCCAAAGATAGGAATCACTAGAAAGGCAACACTGCAGAGCAAATGCATAATGTTTACTTTCGCATATGGTCTGCTCTTTTAATTCTTACCCAAACACATTCACATAGCTATATAGATATGGTGACAGGAGTCTAAATCTCTCCTGCTATAAAATTGCAACATGATGTAACCCAACACCAGTTACCATGGTGACAGTCATTGGCCTTATCGGTTCGGAGAAGAAGAAGAAGAGGAAACAGAGGGAAAACTATTTTTCCTCTGTTTTTCCTCTGTTTTCCTTTTTTTAGTTTTAATAATTATTTGTTTTCATAATACTAGTAAATTCCCACGCACCTCTCCAAAGTAGCTCCCGTCGCTGAGAGTGACGAACGTGGTGACTCCATCGTCTGCAACCACAGCCAGCTTACCCTGTTTCACGATGTACATCTCCTTCCCGATGTCCCCCTTCCTGCAGATGTAGTCTCCGGGTGAGAAGACCTGAGAGCAGAACAATAAGCAGCAGTTTCAACGCTATGACTCTGCCATAGTGTTTCAAGAATATGCAAAACATGTTGAGCAGCACTTTCTACATCACACTAGCTACATGCAGGTGTATGTAAGAGGGTATTACGACGTGAGATCATAGGGATACCAACATGGAGAGGGGGGGCAGCTACTAGTATTTGAATTTCAGTGAATCATATCTCAAGCATTTCTGGCCATCTCCATGGATCTTCCAATCCTCTCCAATAACTTCTGTCAAGGGCTCTCAGATGCAGATTATACCAGAAGAATACATCAAACTTAAACTCTCCGTTGACATTTTTTTTTAATGTGTACGCTTGAGCATGGTCCATCAAGTGCAAATCAAGTACGCCAACATGGTGGCAGGCACCCGCCCGCTTCATTAATATGGTAGTGAATGAAACGCTCAACAAAGTCACACTATATTTTTTCTAGCTTTTGTGTAGCGACAATTACCTGTGGTTTTGGTTCATTTGCAGTCATGGCTTACGTGAAGTGTCGGTTTCCCTGTGGTTCTGGTTCATCTGTAGTCTTGATTTACGTGAAGTTTAAGTTTACCTGTGGTTTTAGCTTCAGCACGATCTCGACCAGCAGTCCCGGCTCGCAGTCGGAGAAGATGGAGACTCTCTTCAGCGTGTCCAGGTGGACGTGGATGGCGATCTCTGCCTTCAGCTTGTCGGGCAGGGACCTCAGCACCTCCTCCTCGTCCAGGGACTTCTGGTTGGTCCAGAGGTAGTCGAACCACTTGATGACCCTGTTCTGTAGGTCCTTGGACACCTGTTGAAAGTTTGTTTGTTTGTTTGTTTGTTTGTTTGTTTGTTTGTTTGTTTGCATATAATCAGAGAGAACAATAAAAAGAACATATTACAGTAAAATAGGATATGCAGGGGAAAGATAAGAAGCCATAATGGCTTGTCCGTGATCTTCCCCTGACTAAATTAATTGACAACTGTAATAATGGTAACAAATCAAATGGTAATAATAAATAACAATAAGTAATTGAAAAAAAATAAGTTAACAGAGGTTTAACTGAAGTACAAACATAAACAAAAATTGAAGCAATAACTCCAGAATATATAAATGAATTTTAAATTTAAATCTTATATAACATGTAACGGAAAATTCAAACTTATACTTAAACTCAAACCTGTTGAAAGGATGGCAGGAACAACCATGACAAACAAATCTGGAGAAGCCCATCTTGCTTAAGTGTTATTAGATGAACTGTTATATCTATCACATCAGCGGTTTAACTTTAAGAGGAAGTGGCGATCAACTATATTAGAAGGAATCTATCATCGCTGATCCAGATTATCCCCAGGCAGTAGCACTTTGCTTTCTTTTCTGAAATCCCGTCATGTTCTGAACAGCTCTTAATCTGGGTTTTATGTAGAATATCCAGATCCCTTCTCATGTCTTTTCCTGAAAGCGTTTCCTCAGAGCTGAAGAACCTTCCCTATCCTTAGTGCTGAATTGATGAAAAAATCCCTGTCCTTGGTGCTGAAAACCAAGTCCTTATTGCTGAAGCCCCCAGTCCATAGAGCTGAAGAACCTTCCCTACCCTTCGTTCTGAACCATCTTTCCCTCCTTAGTGCTGAAAAACCTTCCCTGTCCTTGGTGCTGAAAACCCTGTCCTTAGTGCTGTTAGAGTTCTCCTGTCCTTAATGCGAAAAATTCCCTGTCCTTGGTGCTGAAAATCCCGTCCTTATTGCTGAAGGACCCCTTTTGTCCTTAGTGTTAAAATTCCCTGTCCTTAGTGCTGAAAACCTAGTCCTTAGTGCTGAAGGACCCCTTTTGTCCTTAGTGTTAAAATTCCATGTCCTTAGTGCTGAAAACCTAGTCCTTAGTGCTGAAGGACCCCTTTTGTCCTTAGTGTTAAAATTCCCTGTCCTTAGTGCTGAAAACCTAGTCCTTAGTGCTGAAGGACCCTTTTTGTCCTTAGTGTTAAAATTCCATACCTGTCGGAACTCCATGTATTGCTTGATGCCGTCCACCTTGGCCTGGAACTCGGCTCTGACGGCGTTCATGTTGGTGATCATCGTGCCCACGTTACCGACGATGGTGGCGAAAATCAGCACGCCGACGAGGAAGTCGAACACCACAAACACGAACTCGATATCCTGCTCCGGCGTCGGCGTCTCACCGATGGTCGTTAACGTCAGGGTGGACCAGTACAGGCTGTGGGGTGAAACAATAGGTCAAGAAAGTCCACACAAGTCCACCTTTGCTCATTACCAGTCCTAGTTTAGAAGGTACCAACATCAGAGAATTTGATGTTTAATTCAAATATGTTTGTCTTAAGTTACCTTTGTTTGGGGTAGGCCCTTTGAAAAACCACCCAGGTTTCTGGCCTACCCCGCATATTCTTTGAATGTTATTATTTGGTTATGAATTTTTTTATATATATATGTGCAAATAAAGAAAGAAAGAAAGATGTTGACAACTGCACGTATCTGACAATGGCGGTATATGCATTTGACAGTGAACATGTATACAGAACCTCTTTGTGTCTTGTGGTGTGGCGTAATGGCAGAGTGCTTGACTCGGGTGAACCAAGAGGTCCCGAGTTCGAGTCCTGACATGCCACCGAACTTGTGCTCTTGGGAAAGACACTTTACACGACTTTCCTCACTTAACTCAAGTGAAAATGAGTATTGTCCTGTTCTGTATTTGTCCTCTGCATTGGTGGCGGCTTAAAATAAGTTGATATAACTTGAGTGTGCCATCACCATATCTAGTCATGAAATGTTGGATTATAAAAAAAACTCTGTCTCACCTGTAGATGTATTTCCTGCTGAGAGTGTTGTTGATAGGGTACGAGGTGTTGGGGTACACCCATCCGTCCACACCGAACCCCAGGGCGCTGGAGATGGCGAAGTAGAAGCAGGCGTTCCAGTGGATGATGATGAAGATGTAGAGGACGAGGTTGATGATGCGGAACAGGTTGGGAAAGTTCGTCCGTGTCTCCGTCCGCTCGAAGCACTCCAGCGCCCTGCGGACCCGCAGCAGGCGGGGGAAGCGCAGCTCGGGCTGGTCGACCGTCCCCAGGGCGATGTACAGGAGGTCCAGCGGCAGGATGGACAGACAGTCCAACTTGAAGTTGAACGTGGAGATGTAGTGTTTACACAGCTTCTTCACATCTTTCACCAACAGGCCTTGTTCGAGGTATCCTAAAGGTAAAGATGACAATGTGATCAATACGATCTACTGGACGGCGGCAGATATCGACTTCTGGGCACCGTTGACCTACTCCTGACGT